TTTTTTTAATTAAGCAAATAAAAGGATAAAATAAATAAAGAATGCTTTGTAATTGATTTTAGTGCAATAATATAATTTCAATCATTTAATTCAAAATATTAAGCACCATTGGTCACTACAAAATTTTCAGTCCCTAGCCAATTAAAAGGGTAAATTAGATAACATTTAGCAAGTGGTTTTGGTATAATACTTAATTTAACTTCTACCATATAGTTCAAACAGTGAACATAATTTTGCTTGAAATATTGGTGAACAAAAATATATGACACAATGAGTTTCACAGATTTAGATTTTGACACATTATGAAGTGCACATGTTTGTGAAGAGATTATATTTAAAGAAATTGTTGTTTTATTTAAAAATTCTCATAAAGTTAAAAAATAATAATAATAACAACACAAAAACCAACAACTCCTTACTATCTATAGCCGTGAAAAGGTTGTATCAAGCTCTAGTATAATCATATGATCACAAACACAAGAATCAAGAATCTGGTGGTTTAAACTCAGAGACAATGTTAATATACTATCTAATGAAAAAAGCAACAAAAGCCTTGTTCAAGTCAACCTTACCCTTTCCAGAAGATAGACTCCTGTTCTTCAGTGCCCACTTTCCCTGCTCTGTTGATCTGTCAAAAAAACAAATAGACTTTTTTCACACGGAATGGTAAGTTGGTAACACCAAATGTCTATCATTAATATGTGTAGAAATGAAAGTAAACCCATTCATAACAGATTAAAGTCAAACTTCTAGTAACCCATAACCCAAAAAACATTAAGAAATGCTGACTACTTAGATTAATCCATAAAAAACATTTATTTTTTATATTTTCGTTTTTAATTAATGTATTTTTATTAATCATAACAAAATATCACTTTTTTGGGTTTCTTTTTCTATAGAATTTCTTTAAAACAAAACATAAAGAGCAAATAATGTGATATTTTTATAATTATTATCAAAATCTGAAAATAACCAAAAAAATAAAAATAAAAATGCTTGAGTTAATTTTCTAGATTAGAACTCCTAAAATTTTTGTTGGTCTTAAACTATTGAAGAATCAAGCTGTTGTTTAAAGCCATGGAAGAACCAAAACATATATTGTATTGATGAGTAATTAATAATAATGTATTTAATGATTTACTCAAGAAGATTTGCAGTACAAAATTGAAATAAATGTTCCAAACTCGTTGCTTTCTAGAATGGATCAGAGTCAGGTGAAGCTGAAGGAAACATCATAGAAACAAATCCACTACCCCGTCAAACTCTCTCTCTCTCTCTCTCTCTCTCTCTGCATTCTAGAAAGAAACCTCGTAATATCAACGTTACACGACACGACCCATGATTTATTTTTAAATTTTTTCCTTCAATTATATATATTTCTATCAGTGTTTTTCACTTCCATTCAATCATTCTCAACTCTTTCAAACACTCTTTGCTCTCACCTTCATTGTGAGTTCTTATTACCGTTATGCAACGCTACCCGACTTTACCTGAACCCGTTTCTAATTTGGGTCCGGCCCGATCCGAATTTGAGTTTCCCGCAACTGTTTTTTCAAGTTATGTACCCAACGACGTCGTTTTCTGCGGGAAAGTAATAACTCGACGAATCGAACCCGGTTCAGCACGGCAAACCAAAAAAGATAGCGAGAACCGGATTCTGTTGAGATCCGAATCTTCGGGTCGGGTCAACGGGTTCGTCGCGTGGCTCCGGTCGCCGTCCGGGAGGGAAAGTCGATACCGGAGGAGCGAGAGTTGCCGGAAGCGTTATAATGGAATGTTTGGAACGGTTAAGTTTCCGTTGCAAATGGAACTGAGTGATATTAAGATGAGGCAAGAACGGAATGAACCGCTGCCGCTGCCGAAGTTTCCGGCGAAGAACGACGGTGACGGCGGAGAGAGTTGCTGGGAACTTGTGCGGCCGTTGAGGCGTCGGGGAACGCTTATGAATGCCTTGGCTAAAGCCTCGTTTGGATGCATTCCCAGTGTTTAGGGCTTCTTTTTACCCTTTTCTTTTGTAATTACTTCCTTAGTACTTTCTCGTTTTTTATTGCACGTTTGAGCAATTTTTTTACTCCACAATAAATAAATTAATACGAACCCCATTAAAATTTTTGTAAATTATGTAATGATAAATATAAATAAATATAAGTTATCATTGTTTATTGTACTAAAAATTATAATTCGAATATTAATGAATTTAAGATTATTTATGTGATGTAAAAGTTTTGAATAAATTATATTCACAAAGGCTGAAATTTAACAAAATTTTATTTAATATTGTTTTATTAAACCACTCCTTATGTAATATGGTCGAAAAGAATATGTAATGCTATAGTATTATATAAATTAAGAAAAGTTTATCTAGAATAAAAAATATATATCTGATTTTTTTTTCAAAATTCAGAGAAAAAAACAATATTAGAAGACACGCCTTCCACCATTTTGTGGTTTAATTTCAATTCATGTTTATCACCAACCTATTTGAATAAAAGTTTATGCAATTAAAATGACAACTAATTTTAGAGAAACCATATATCAAGTTTTACATATCATTATGATCACTAAATTAGCAATGATTTTCTATTAGATACATGTCTTTCACTCTTTTCGTCCATAAAAACATATATTATCTTAATAATTTAATTCTTTTGGAGTTATTATTGCCACTTAATTTGATTACCGTAGAGATTTTACTAACATGGTACTTTTTAAAAAAAAAAATTGATTGATTGATTTATGTAAAATATTTTAACCAAATTAAACTTAAATTCATCTTACACAAATATCTTTTAATTGACTGTTAATTCATTGATGTGGTACGTTTTTATTATCTAACCCTCCAAGCAAATAGAAAGATAAAATAAATAATGTTTAAGTAATTTTGGTGCGATGATATAATCTCAAGCACTTGATTCAAAATATTAAACAGCATTTGGTCACTAAAAAATTTTGAGTCCCTAGCCAATTCAAAGGGTAAATTAGGATACACCAACAACTCCCTACTGTCTATAACTAATGACGGGTACTTCTACTACCCAACCCAGAAAAGCTTGTATCAACTTCTACAGTATAATCATTTGATCTCACACAACAATCAAGGATCTGGTGGTTTAAGCTCAAAACTTATAATAAATGATTAAAGTTAATATATAATATCTAGTGAAAAAAGCAATAAAAGCCTAGTTCAAAATTCCAAATTAGCATAAAATAATTATATTACATATTTTTTAAGATTAAAAATTATAACAAATAATGAAATCATAATAATTTATATATAGGCCTCATGTATGATCTTTATTTATTTTAAAACAATTTTTCAAAAATAAAAAAAATAAAATTATCTCACTGATTTAAACCAATTTTTTACGCCGATTTTTCAGTCGAATTGATTGGTTTAGTAGAATTTTGATAACTATGAAAAAAAACTCCATTGCACTTTACTTACTATTAAAAGTGGGTTAAAATATGCAATTTAATTAAGCATTTATTTAATAAATTATTATTTATAAAATCTTGTGACCTAAATTTGGTCTTAAAACTTTGTAAAATAAGCTGAAAATTTTATTTTGATGGGTTAAACTAAAAAATGTTAAAATAATATCATCATAAGCTCTTTTTCAATATTTGCTACATATCCCAACATTGTCAGTAAAATATTTACAATTATTAACAAAGGAAATTTTTTTCTCATTGAACAACTAAGAGGAGAAAACCTTATAAAATCAATTGTACTCACCCAAAAATTATTTTAATTAGTGGAAGTAAATCTTCACCTTTTTTTTTGTTGTCAAAGGAGAAAATCTATATACTATATTGACATAAATTTTAGCGTCTTCAAAGTTTTATGGCCCAAGTCTATGGGAACATTAGTTTGCAATTGGATGATCACATTTTCTTTGATAAAAAAGTGAAAATGGGAGTAAATAAACTATTTAACACAAATTATAGCGTCTTGAAATCCTTATGTACCAAGTTGTCTTCTTTTTTTGGGTGCAAGGAACAGGGCTAGAGACTAAGAGGGGGAATAAGGAAGGGCATTGTTTTACATGTGACTCGATTTTAATTTTGAATCTTGCTCTGAAATCTGAATATTCCATGTCCCTTTAGCTTACCACTAAAACTATTAAGAGAGAGACATTTAATAAACAAGATGCGATGGAACTGTTATGACAATATTGGACCCATTTGATAAATAAAATAGAATAAGAAAAGATATCACTTGACCCAAAAATGAAAAGAAAAGATATCACAACAAAATACACAAAAATAAGGTATAGGAATTGAATATGAATACAGTATAACAAGAGTAAAACAAATTCTTATCTTATTTAACATTTAAAAAGTACTAAACTAATAAACTATTTCAAACTCAGATCCCTTTCACAAGATAAAATTTACACTAAGTAATAGAATTAAATAAGCATATAAAATAAACTTATATTCTATTAGTTAAGCAAATATCCGATAACAAAATTTATTAATACTGATCTCTTATTTTGCAAACCAATCGAGCCCTTTCTCTCCATAATTCAAAGGGATGAAACACTACTTCAAATAGAAGTCAAGGTATGGGAAAAAACTAACTGAAGATGAAGAAACAAACATACGTGGCATTAGAGGCGGGCAAGGCATGGTCATGACATTACTGTTAGTGTTGAATGCAATTAGAAAATTTTAACCAAGTGTTTTGTGCTGTCAACTTTGGAATCTGATGGACCATGTTGGCCAGCCTTCACCAAATAATTAAACTCACCTATGATTGAAGGGAATGATTTTCTTGAGTTACATTTTCACCGCAAGAGATCTTTAGTCTCAACCATTAAAATTATATTATTAAAATGGAATTTTATCAAATAATACATTTTAATGGTAAGATTAAACACTGCATCTCTCTGCAATGGATTTTGGATTTGAGCACAACAAAAACATTAGTTGAGTTACTTACAAATATACATCATGAAAAAGGCACTTATCAAGAACCCAGATGGCAAATTGAATAACAATGTCCACCCCATTGACACAAGCCTTTCAAATTGAAATGTGGCTATAATAATTTGTCTGAGGAATAAGTGTTCACATCAAAACTGTATGATCTTCCACGTGGAGTTGCAACAGACAAAAGTTTTCCATGAAATAAATAAATAAGCATTCAATTTGAATCACGTTTATAGTACTCAACAATGTGCCATTATGATTCTAAGCCAATGGCTAGCAAAAATTTTCCTCAAAGAAAGAATAACTGGCTGCTATATGTTAGTACCAACCATGCAGATTCTAAGGAGCTCTATCAAAGGGTTGTGTATCATTGTAACAGACATCCCATACAGCTTCCATGGAATCCTTGGCAGCAAAACCAAAACAATTGGGATTTGCAGACAATGCTTTCATAGCTTTTCTTCGGACACATTCCTTCAAGTTCCATTACATTTATTCAGTATTGAACAAAATGTCCCCCAAAAAATATTACTAAAGTAAAGATAGATATGCATGACTACAGTAAGTGAATAGTGACGAATGTAATTCTAACAAATATAAATAGAAAATTGTACCTGACCCCAACCATGTCAATCATGTAAAGCATTTTTAATATAAATATACAACAATATTTGGCTTAACTATCATGTTTATGAATAGTAGAAAGCCTAGTGTTCTCTTTCTTCCCCTTTAAAGAGGAGGATATATTGAATATTATGAAAATTTCCACACATTTTTTTAAAACAAGTCCATACCTTTTTGTTTTCTAATCCATTTCTAATTGGTTAAAACTCAAAAACCCCCCCTTCAACTATATCAATGGAGTGAATTACCCCAACTTTAAAATTAGTGCAAGTTAACACCCATCATTTTCACATTATATATTCTATCCCTCTTACCTAATTCAACAACCATGTTGTCAACAAAATATATGAATATTCTTGGCAAAGCATAAGCACAACCAGTAGAGTATTTGATCATTAGGACTTGGGATGACTAGCATACATGACGTGTATGCTTCTATTTAAGAATTTAGTTAACCTTAATATTTTCTCCCTTTCTAATTGAAATTTAGATAATGTGAATGAAGAAGTAACCATGTAAAATTGCCAAATGTAATAAAAAAAAACAATTGAACTAAAATAAATGTTTTGTATTAAAGGAGGAGGGCAATAGAAAGTTTACTTGTTCATGCCCTCGTAGTTTCATGAAACCTCTCAGTAGTTCCCGCTTGTAATGACAATCACCACTTAAATGACCAGCTCGTATCTATTTAAAAAACAATACTAATAAGGGGAGAGTAAGATACAAGAACCCATCTAACATAACATGGACAAGAACACGTTGGAAGATAAGAACCTCAGTACAAGCATGATGAGCACAATCAGACCAATCCAAGTTGGCAGCACGACAATCATCAAATGCATGAATTAGCTCACGAATTACCACCAGGTTGACGTCGTCTTGAATTCGTACATAATTGCTGCACACTCTTACCTGAGACAAAGGCGCACCAACAAAGGAGAAAATTCTATTAGCCATCTGCAAACCTTCTCATCCAACCAAAGGAAAAGCATTGATCAAAATACTATTTCAGCCACCAAAATAAGGAAGCAGGTTCAGAATTAAGGGCATACTTCACAAACCATGCAAGTTCAAACAGCTTCTTAATTGTACATGTAGAAAGATAATTCCAATCCAACAAGAAGCTAAAGTAAACATAATTAAAACATAAAATTCCCATTAAAAAAAAAAGAGAAATTAAAATGGATATAGAAATGAGTACCCCTTCACCACGAACATAACTACCAGCCATTTGCTGCTTGCAAGTAACAGCTTTGAAAAAATTGTCTCCCACACCACACCCAGCTTTCTCCAAACGTTCCCTCAAAAACCTCACCATTGGAGCTGTCAAAGAACATTGGAATCAACCCATCAATTCCCAAAAAATAAAATAAAATCATTCAAAACAGATTCCTTAGAGAAAAATTGCACCCCCAATTCTGATAAAAGGGCATAGTCACGCGCGCGCATTCAGAGATTAAGAAACGAATCCACAAAAGCAATACGAATCAAAATAAAACCCAGAAACCTCTTTCCTTCTAACACTGGGAAAAACTACACTTTCAAGAGGTGAAATTTAAAAGTTCACATTTTCCCCTTCAAAACTAAAAAGTGTCGAAACCCAATCTGAACATACACTTCATCAGCGAAAAAAAGTGGATTTGACTTAAATTTTTTTTTTTTTTAAATAAATAAAAGAATGGCATGATCATAAAACCCTAAACCCTAATAAGATGATGAAGATCGTTATACATACTTCGGAAACTCTTGTGAATCATGGCTTCACATTCTTCTTCACTTTTAGATTTCTCGGCCATTGCTTCGATTCGGCTCAATTGCACAGCCTCAAGTAGCACAAGCATGGAAGGTAAGTATATTTACAAAGGAGTCCTTTAACATTTACTCTCCAAAAATAATTAATTGCAAATAAGTACTCGCAACCTTATTTTCAAGTTATGTACTCACCGACGTCGTTTTCTACGGCAAAGTCATAACTGGGTGAATCGAACCCGGTTCAACCCCCAAACCAAAAAAGATAGCGAGCCCCAGATTCTGTTGAGATCCGAATCTTCGGGCCGTGTCAACGGGTTCATCGCGTGGCTTCGGTCGCCGTCCGGGAGGGAAAGTCCATACCGGAGGAATGAGTGTTGCCGGAAGCGTTACATTTCCGTTGCAAATGGAACTGAGTGATAGTAAGATGAGGCAAGAACGGAATGAACCGCTGTCGCTGCCGAAGTTTCCGGCAAAGAACGACGGTGACGCCGGAGGGAGTTGCTGGGAACTTGTGCGGCGGTTGAGGCGTCGGGAAACCCCTATGAACGCCTTGGTTAAGGCCTTGTTTGGATGCATTCCCAGTGTTTAGGCCTTTTAAAATAATTTAAAAAATTTATTACATAAATATCCTCTTTTAAAAAAAAATTATAATTTTATCTTAAAAATGTCATAGTTGAACTCAATTAAAATTGACTTTAGTTAAAATTTCAAATTCTTTTGAACCAGAAATAATTTTAATCAAATTTCAATAATTTAAGACTTACTAAAAAGTCGACTTTAATCAAATTATGTGGATTTAGGTCAGGTTTAGTTTAGTTAATTTAAATCGATTTTCAATATATGCAGAAGTTAATTTTAATAAATTTCATTTTAATATAGAAATTAATTTTAATAGATTTTACTTTAATATAAAAGTTTGTTTTAATAGATTTCAGTTCAACGCAGAAATTGATTTAAGTAGATTTCATATCATTCCATTCGTCTTCACTTATAAGTAAACATACAACTTCTAGAATTTACAGCAAATTATTCGAAAAATCAACCAATTGAGTGCATTTTCAATAAAATGAGAGAGAATGATATTCATGTGCTTATATATTATAATGGTGAAATTGTCAACACAGTGGAGGGAGAGACGTTTCGTAGCGACTATTAAGCTTGGTTAATTGTTCATCCTCTAATTACTTTGCTACAGTTGGAGAGTCGAATATTGGAGGAGTATGAGGAAAATAATATACAAGTCTCAAAGATTTTCTACAGGATGCCGATTGATATTGGGCCAAATAGTATTTGATATAAAAGATGGTGAATACGGAAAGATGAGCACATTGATCACATGTTTAATTATTTTAACTCATTTGCTGAAACTCGTATAATAAAGCTTTTTGTCGAATTACAATATGATCATTTTAGCTCTGGAGGCTCAGTTCCAGATCTATCACCTTTTGTATCAAATGCAGTCCTATTAGTTGAGATGTCCCACCATGACATGCACAATTCACATGATCAGGTAGGTTCTCCAAGTTTCGAGCACTTTGTTAAACACATTGAAAATCCATTCTCTTAATCCATAGAAAATGAGACAAGGTAGCTTGGTCAGAGATTTTGATTTTGTTGTGGCATAAGAAGATACTAAAATGATGAAGAAGAGGACATTGATGATTATGAAGATGAACAGTTGTGTGATGTGTAGAATTTGGATGAACATTTGATATCGCGATCTCAATTCCAATCCCAATCTCAAGCTCGACATCATCCTAGTCACTACTTAACAATTGATTTAGCTGTAATACATTGTAATGTGAGTGAGTCTAGTTCAAGTTCAAGCATAGGGCGAGATAGTGATTTGTCACTTGGTCAAGTATTTCGCTCCAAAAATAAAGTGACGTTTGTTGTTAAAAATTACAGCATTTGAAGAGGTGTTCAGTATAAAGTTTATGAATCTGACCACATAAAATTTTATTGCAAGTGTGTGAAGTTTGGCATTGACTGTAATTGGAGTATACGTGTCACTTTCTGCCAGAAATTGCAATTATAGGAAGTGCGAAAATTGACAGGACCACACACATATGTCTTTCCAGAGTCTATGAATCAACATGCTTAGATGGATTATAATATTATCTGTGCCTATATATACCCCATGATCCAAGCAGATTTGATGATAAAAATCAAATCTCTACAAGCATTAGTCGAGTCAGAGTTGAGATTCAAGACAATATGTAGAAAAGTGTGGCTTATCAAACAGAAAGCTATTGCTATGATATATGGAGACTGGAAAGAATCGTATAATGAACTTCCAAGATGGTTGGGTGGCTTATAGTCTTATATGTCAGGTACTATTGTCTAACTGCAAACTAGACCATACTATATTGGTGATGTTGTAAATTATGGTTGCTTTATGTTCCATCATCTTTTCTGGACTTATCCACCATGCATAAAGGCATTCAAATATTGCAAAAAATTGATTTTAATTGATGAGACACACTTGTCCGGCAAGTATAGTAGAACATTGTTGATGACAATTATCCAAGATGACAACTCAAATATCTTGCCAGTAACATTTGTAGTGGTGGAGGGAGAGACAAAAGAAGCATGATCATTTTTTCTGAGAAATGTTGCCAGCATGTAACACCACAAGAGGGCATACTTGTCATATCTGATAATCATCATGCTATCAAAGCAGCTCTAAAAGTTATAGATAGGGGGTGACATCTCCCTTCAGCCTATCATGCATACTGTTCGCGACACATTGCATCAAATTGTGTTGTAAAGTTCAAGAACAAAGGTGCAAAGCGATTGTTGTTGAATGCAACATATGCAAAGACTGAACATTATTTCTTGTATTGATTTAGAGCATTGGACGATGTGACCCACAATGCGTTAGAATACTTGGTGTTTGAAAGAAATAACATGGAAAGTCGTGGTCAACGGGAATTCATGGTGCATTTAACAGAGCGATGGTGTGATTGTGAAGAATTTCAAAAGTTACATTATTCATGTCATCATGCACTTACTATGTGGTCTGATGCTCGAAGAGATTAGACCTTTTTTGTTCACGATGTTTACACCATGAAGTCCGTGTTCAATGTGTACAAAGCACAATTCTCTTCAATTCCTAATGAAGAATGTGGCCACCATACACTGGCCTTCCTATCTTATATAAAAATGATAAATTTCAAATTACATTAAAACTTAAAGCAAGTTAAACATAAATGTCTTACACCACCATGCTTGAATAATAAAAAGACAAAAGTGCATAATTACAACGATTACATCAACCAAATTAAAAGTTTACCATACATATCAATCTGAAACACTATGAGCCATGCCTATTATGTCTAGAATCAGCAATGTGACTCTCTATTGCACAGCGACGATGTACAATCTGTCGTACTGATTTATGATATACGTGTTCTTCCTCTTGTGGCTCATCTTGGTCATCTGCTTCTTCCTCCTGGTCATCGAGCTCATCCTCTTCCTCCTGATGCGTTGGCGATGGTCGATAGAAATGATCCAGCGGTTGAACGTCTTGAACTGGTGCACGTGTCTCAGATGAATGTAGCTATGCCATAACCTCAGCATCTAAAATGAAAGGTGGACTGAAAGATATATGTCGTGCAATATCATCCTAGGCTAGACCTATGACAAAATGTTGCGTAGGACTTGGAGTAAGAAAAGAATTAGACATGAACTGATGACTAGGACCTGCAATAAACTACTGGCTGGGAGTCATATATGGTTGGCTAAGACCCGACATAAACTGGTGCTGAGAAGGGCCAGACATGTATTGTTGTTGGCTAGGTCCTGACATGAAGTGCTGGCTAGGGTATATGGGTGTCGGGTGGTATACATGGTGTGATGTAGGTTGTACAGTGGGGTATGCATCAGGTTGTACATCATGTGCTGGGGGATCGACTGGTATATGTGCCTCATTGGGGTATTGACGTATACTAGTACGTGTACTTGCACGCAAACGATGGCTAAAAGAGCGTCTATTTGAAACGTTATTAGGGTGTGTAATGTCAGGTACCGGGGGAGCATGTAGTTCTACACCATTAGGCAAGTCCCTAAGCTCTAGACTCTGTGGGGCTCCATCTAATGACAAAAATCTATTAGCGACTGACAAATACCACTAGAAATACTTGACAGAAGGACGATCATCATTAGCTAGAGGATATTGAACTTGTCGCTCCTTACGTGCGTCCCATATAGCATGCCATGTTTGGTGATAATTAGGCCATCATATCTCTAGATCACCCCTCCCATCCTTAGCATGCAATCGATTAATATTTATTGAGCTGATTGGTATGTATTGTGCTCCACCAAATTGTCAAACCACGTGATCAATAGGGTGCCACTCAATCACAGTAAACTGTATAAGAGCAGTCATAGATGTCCAAACATCAGCCTTATCATATACGAAAGGAGGTGTAATGTTCCTAACCTCATTGTTTCTGTAGGGCATCCACTTAAACTGAAATAATCAAAAACAAATATTAGACCAAAAAGAAAAATTAAAAGTCAACAAAAGTTAGTAGCATATATCCTCTTTGAACTTACCCTATTAATGCCAATTGAATCAATGATCCTCCTATATCGTAATAACTTATCCGTATATGATCTCGTTGATGACCTAAAACTTTTTCACCTAAAATGAGCATAATTAGTTTTTAGGGTGCAAATTTAACATATATAAATAACAAAAATTTATATATTCAATAATAAATGTACCTTAATGCTAGTGGAAAAATGAGATGATGATGATGCCTAGGGGCTAACTGAGATATTCTGTACCATGCCCAAGACTGTAGAAGAGGCAAACAACATGCAATTTTGGTGACATTGTATTTCACCGCATGATAAAGCTCAAGATAAAGGGCTGCTAGAACAGCAAAACTCCAACTATAGTTTAAAATCTCAGTAAAATCAGTTAAAAGAGGCAGTGATGTAACCTATTTTATGTTTACATTTAATGTTTTATTTTGATTAATAAACACTTTTTATATTTTTTTTTACCATTTTCTACTTATTTGAATAAATTGGGCCTATTACAAATAAATGCTTTTATTTTAAATTTTCGATTATTCTAACCTCTGACTACTCTTTTGATCATAATTTTTTTTACAGATATTATTTTTGTTGATTCCAGTTGCATTAGATTTTACACATCTAGAGATTCAAAATGCATATATGGATTGCTGGATTTGAAGTTTTTCTTTTTTTCTATTTTTTTATGATGTTTTAAAGTTGAGACAGATTTGATGAATATTGTTGCAAGATTGCATTTGGACCTTTGTTATTTAATAATTATATTTGGACTTTTAGATATTATTGAGACTCGCATTTTGGCCACTTAATTTTTCCTAATCAGAACCTATAAATAGACTAATAAGGTTCTTAATTTAACCTAATTCGTATTAATTTGATAATTAATACGAATTAGGTTAAATGATTATTTGATTTAATTCGTAACTCTATTCAATTAGGTTATTCGATTGAATTAATAATTGAATTGGGTGATTGTTCAAATGTGGATTTAAATCTTTAGATACTTTTATAGTCAGAGTT